TATAGCTCTCATAATATTTTTGTTGTACCAGTATACCGTGTACCTGATAGATTGAGTCTTAAATAGAGTGCATAGCTTCCCAATGGATGGGAATGCATATAGTGGTATTATAGCCTTATTATAGAACAGACACGCTAGCTACTAAAGAACGACCACAACGCCATTAGTTGTATATCCTCATCAGAACGATGAGCCAGGCTTACCGTAAAATCTGTATTAGAAGTCGCATCCCTAATAGAAGTCGCACCCATTTTTTTAAAAAATTGGGAATCAAAAATTCATCATTTCTCATATGTGTAGATGCTCTAATAGAAGCCGCATCCTCTCTGTTGTATTGTACCATTTTAATAGAAGCCGCGGCTTCTAATACAGATTTTACAGTAATTGTTTTCAAATCACACATTGCCGAGACCAGAACGAAAACAAAATTACATTCATTCGCTGTCATAGTGTTATGATTCACAGGTGGAAACTAACTTTTTTTAAAGGCACACAAAAAACAAACATGTTACTAACATCCAACCTCAGAAAAATATTTTAATAATTCAGTTAGTTTTACCCATTTTCTCCATTAGATGCACATTACCGAGGGAGGAGTATCAAAGCAAAACAATTCACACACACACACACACAATTTGTTCATATTAAAACAATAACGAAGGAACAATAATGTTTTTTGTTATATCTAATGAGGATGAAGATCTGACAATGCCATCACCACATGTTAGGTTGTATACACGTCCATGTCCAATTTTTGCTCATTTTCATTTTTTTAGGTATGTAGCGAAGAATGCAGTGGCCCTGACACGAGCATGCACTAATGCTCTATGTCAAAACATGGAGGTGTCACACTGTATCAATCGTAAAAGGGATATTTAAAATTGATATATTTTAATGTGCTTTGTATTTGCTAAAGTGCTTTGTAATAAGTAAACTCACATAAATAAGCTTATATTTTTTCGACATCTATAAAGTTGCATGATTTTTTCATTGCTGAATTTAACAGCTCAATGCAATCATTACAGCAATACTGCATTGTCTGGCAATGACATAATGACACAATGACATAATGACACAATGACATAATGACATAATGACACAATGACATAATGCAATTGTCAAAATATAAGCAATGATATGTTGTAGTAGTTAATATTTGTTGGATGAAAACAAAACACAAATAAAATTATGAATAGTTACCAAAAAACAGCGCATTTAGATGTAAAGCTGCAGTTCGAAGCAGTACATGTAGTATAAGTAATGTAGCCAATAATTTCATATTTTACCTTTAAGGCCTGAAGGTAGGGAATCACAATTTTAAGGAAAATCAATTATTAAAATATTACATATACATTATGCATTTAATTAAGGAAACAAGGAAATCGCATTTAAATTTATGGTAAGGTAAAGGAACTTGGTATTTTAAAGGGTTATGACACATGACATTTCAATACCAGTGCTGTGGTTATTTTAGTCATGTCTGCATGCTAATGATGTTTAATACACACATGTCCATTCTGAAAATCTATAATTATGAAGCACATGTCGATGGTACAAGCACTTTTATCATCTGCTTGATGTATTAATACATGTATAACACAACTACCAGAATAACACAAGAGCTTATCAAATGCATACAAATGCAGTGTAATTGGTTGTCCAATCCACAGACAACTGGCGTACAAGTGAAAATAAAATAAATGCGATTAATTTATCAAAATTTACTATACAGAGGCCGCCATCTTGAATACGACATGAAACTAAATAAGAAACAATCGCTAAGAAAATTTGGTCGAATTCAGCGTATTTGTGTGGAAAAATCTATTGCATACAAACACCTTACACACAAAACATAGAACACTTTCCCGGGTATATGAAACCGAAATTGTCATCTAACTATAAGACTGTCACTGATTGGCTGCTGAGTTGGAATGACAGGCTGTCACTGATTGGCTGCTGAGTTGGAATGACAATTTTTAGTTTCAGGAAAGTGTTCTATGTTCTGTGTGTAATGAGGTGATCGAATGCAAGGGATTTCTACACACACTGAGTAGGGTTCGTTTGTTCATTCATTCAGTCGTTCATTCATTTATTCATTAAAATGAAAACACCCATTAAACTCACCGAAAACACCATCTATAATGTAGCAAACAGGATTGCCATTTTGTTGATCATCTTTTGGGGACGCACACAATGGGAGAACTCTGATTTCATTCATTGC